AAGGAGGACTGGCATTCCCAGCAGGCAAACCAGCATGTACAAAGGCCCAGCCCAAAGGCATTCACACTGACCTTTTCCTCAGGTCCTAGACCTCCCAGCGCATGGTCCTCCTAATCCAGGGGACACTTCCTTATGGCCAGGAGAGGAATCACCAGGCCAGCAGAGGAGGCTGCCCCATCTCCCCCCACCCCCCAGCACCAGAGCTTTGTTCTCTGAAGCCCACTTGGCTTCTCTCTCCCTCTGGTAAACTCATCTTGCTGTAAGGCCTCTCACTAATTGTCAGCCCCACTGAGAAGTTGCTCCTGGCCTTTTCTCTCTTGGGTTCCCAGAGCTCCACATCCATTTCTCTAGAATTGAAGAGTTGCCATATAACATTTAGAATCCCTGGATGGTACAAACAGTTAATAATATGGCTGGCAGTTAAGAGTCCACCCAGAGGTGTCTCAGAAGAAAGGGCTGGTGATCTACTTCCAAAAAAATCAGCCACTCTTGGGACCATAGTCGCAGGGGACATCAAGCTCAATTGGCTATACAAAACATACTATACAAAACATTGTTCCACCTCCTACTTTTGTGAGTAGCGACTGGGATCTTAAAAGCTAGCAAGCTGTCATCTAGATGCAACAACGGGTCTCTCCTCATCAAGAAGAAAGAAGAAAACCAAATGAATGGAAGCAATCAGTCCTAGAGACTGGTACACCATCCGATCTGCAACCTATACAACTATGAGACCAGAAGAACTAGATGGTTCCCGGTTACCACTGTCATCTACTTGGAAGGGATGTAGGAGATCCTGCATAGAGAGGGAGAACAATGTGGAACAAAACTCAAAATCATTTGGAAGCAAAAAAAAAAAAAAGATTTGCTGGTCCAACAGAGCCTGGTGGAACCACTGAGACTATGGCCCCTAGCTGCCCTTCAGGTCTGGAATTGAACCCACACCTGTGGTTTCCAGCCAAACAAAGTACAGGCATGTGAGCTAAACATTTACCTCAAGTAGACACACGCCCTGGAGAGAACAATCATGGGAGAAGGAAGGGCTGCTTATGCACAGGGAGATAGCTCAGGGCGAAGAAGAGTATGGAGGGATGGACACTGGGAAGAGGTAACTATGGGGAGGAAGTGGGAGGGGAGCTGTTGCATTGTAAATTTTGGTCAATGACATGAGACAAAGTATATGTGAACTGCTGTATGAAAAGTGAATTTACTCTGTAAATCTTCACCCAAATCAAAATAAAATTAAAAAAAAAAAAATCAGCCACTAAAATTCTGATGGAGCACACTTCTACTCGGACACTCATGGGGTCACCATGAGTTGCAGTCAACTCAATAGCAACTGGGAACTGGATTGGTGGTTGTTTTTTGTTTTTTTCCTTCATGTAACATTTATTCATTTTCAGATTCATCTTCCTGAGTAGACTGATGTCAGGTCTGGGTCTTTTTCATCCTCGAATTCTCACTCAATAAATTCAAATCTTGCCCCCAAGAACCCCTACCCCAACACTTACTGGCAAAGAGCCAGGCATTAGAGCTCTGGGGTACAATGAGAAGCCAGCCACACCAGGAGTCCTCAAGCCACTTATGAAATTAAAAATAATAACTGGTGTGCTACGCTGTTCTTATATAAACAGTAATAAAGCAAAAAAAAAAAAAAAAACACACTGCCATCGAGTCAATTCTGACTCAGAGCAACCTTTTAGGACAGATTAGAACTGCCCCACAGGGTTTCTAAGACTAGAAGCAGACTGCCTGCCTCATCTTTCTACTACAAAGCAGCCAGTAGGTTCAAACTGCTGATCTTGTTAGCAACCAAATGTTTTAACCACTGTGCCACCAGAGCTCCTTATAAACAATAATATCTAACACTGACAGATTGAGTACTCATGTGCCTGGCATTGTTTGAAGCCCTACACATATATTACTTCATTTAATCCTCACAAAAACTCTGTGAAGCAGGTACATTAATATCTTCATAGATAAATAAGGAAACTGAAGCACTGCCTTCATAGAGGTCACAAAACAGTATCAGAAGCCAGGCAGGTTGATTGAGGTTTTCCCAACCACCATGTTCTTAGAAAGGAACGCTGGTGGCATAGCGTGTAAGGCATTTGACTGCTAACCAGAGGTTGGCAGTTCAAACCCACCAGCTCCTCCGTGGAAGGAAAATGGTGCAATCAACTTTGGCAAAAATTTACCACCTCAGAAACCCAATGGGAGTTACCATGAGTCAGAATTGACTCGACAACAGTGAGTATGTTCTTAGAGAAGCTCTGTTGCTGCAACAGTGAAGTGCTCAGCTGATAACCAAAATACTGGTGGTTCAAATCCACTTACTGACTCTGTGGGAGAAAGACGTGGGGAACTGCTCCCATAAAAATGACAGCCTAGGAAACCGTATAGGGGTTTCACATGGGGTTGCTATGACTTGAAACTGATTCAATGGCACCTACAACAACACGTTCTTATGGGTAGGGTTTTGAGAGGACACAGAGGGGAAATATTTAGCCTTGAGGTGGGGTGAGCCAGAGGGGTGCTACTTGAACAGAGGACTGAAGGAAAGCTGGAGGTAGCCTAGCAGATAAAGTAGGTAGTCCTAGCCTGGCAGAGGGGCTGGGTGTGCAAAGTACGGAGCCATGAAACAGCAAGATGTGGGCAAGACAGATCCTGCAGCATCGTACCATTGGACCTTAGGGTGTATATAGGAGATTAGTAGGGAAGGAGTCCGATCACAGAGCTTGTAAATTGTGCTAGGCACTTAGCCTGCTTTCTCACACAGGCAATGGGAAGCCATTAAAGGTTTTTAAGCAGGAAAGTGACACTATTAGATTTATGTTTGAAAAGGACACAAGAGTTGCAGTTTGGAGACCAGGTTGGAGACAACCATGACTAGTTGCCAGAAGCTACTGTAGTGATCCTGGTGAGAGACGTAATGGACAAAGACGGTAACAGAAGAGCTGAAGGGGCAGGATTAGGACTGAAGATGTTCAGGAAGTCAGCTGGACTATGTCACCCTTTAGATGTGGGAGCTGAAGGAAAAGAGGGAATGTAAGATAATTCTCAGGTTTCTGGCTGGGATGCAATCACAGAGGAAGAATGAATCTGCAGGGGAAAAGAACAGCTCAGGTTTTAGACAGTAAGTCTGAGGTGTCCTACAAACGAATGTAAGCTTAGCTGTCCAGCAGGCAGCTGGACCACCAAGCCTGGGGCTCCATGGAGGGGCTACACTGAAGACGTAGTTCAGAGCGTTTTGAGTATTTAGAAGATGTAAAACTGGAGCCAGGGAATAATGAGACCATCCAGATTCAGTGTACAGAATGAGGGGTTGGGCAAAAGACAAAAATTTGAAGGTACCATCAGAGCAGATGGATGAAAGCCAGGAGATGTTGATTCGGGGGAAGGGGCGCGTATCAATTAGGAATGGAGATCACTGGTGTTAAGGAGCCCTGGTGGTGCAGTGGTTAAAGCCTGCGGTTGCTAACCAAAAAGGTCGGTGGTTTGAACTCAAACACCACTCTGCGAGAGAAAGATGCGGCTGGCAATCTACTTCCATAAAGATTTACATACAGCCTTGGAAACTCTTAAAAGGCAGTTCTAGTCTGTCCCATACAGGGTCGCTATGAGCCAGAATCGACTTGATGGCACACAACAATAAAAAGTGATTCATGCTCTTTTCCAAAGGAAGCTGGGGGAGACTTTGGACGACAGTGAAATGCACAGCTAGTGGGATACTTTACTTTCCTTCTCATTCTCAAGTCCTGCTCCCACCCCATACTCAATACCTAGATACCTTCCCCCTCGCTTCTGCCATCACAGTTAAGTGAGAGGCTTTGGGAAGAGATCACAGGTGGGCGGGGCCGCGGAGGGTCAGCGCCAGAGCCCCCCAACTCAGTGCGGGGCGGAGCTAGGCCCAGCAGAGAAAGGGGGCGGAACCTGGGAATCGGGGCGTGTGGAAAGGGTCGGACAGAGCCAAGAACGGACACAGGGCAGGGAGGCAGGATCTGCAGGCAAGGTATAGCCCTCGTGCCATCACCCCGGCTCCCGTGGCCGCCCCAGGACCCACCTGCTCCATGTCAGCAACAGCCCTGGTTCTTCTGCCCCAGCCGCAATCCAGCTCCGCGGCCCCGGCAGCGCCTATGAGCGGAAGGGAACCTCCCAGCGCCGCCACTTCCGCCGCTGAGTCCGCTCCCAAGAGCGAACCGGGGTGTGCGTAGGCCTTAAGCCCCGCCCCTTTGGTTCAGACTCCGCCCTCAAGCCCTCCGACCTGCAAAAACTAGCTGGAAGTGGGGCTACCGCTGAAGTTAAGACTGTTAGAGGATCACGCTAAGGGTCCCTGAATGGTACAGGCGATCTGCGCTCGGCTGGGAACCAAAAAGCGACACTGCGGAAGACCTAGGCCTGCCGATTGGCTTCCATAAAGATTACAGGCAACCCTACTCGGTATGAACGAGGTCTCTCCAGATGAACACCTCAACAAACTATAACAACAGAGCGAGGGACGTGCGTTCACCCTTTTAGGAGCCCTGGTGGCACTGGGCTACTAACGGAAAGATTGGCGGTCAGAATCGACTGGAACGCAGTGGGTCTGGTTTTTGGTTTTGGCTCTAAGGATGGAAAGAATTGGAAAGAACCCCGAAGGGTGATCGTTATTGGCCCAGACAGTCCTGGCACTGTGGAAAAAGGGGGAACTTCCTGAGAGAAGGCCATGTGGGGATGAGACAGGAGCACAGATCCCTGGAGGAATATGCAATAACTCTTGAAGGGCTTTGTCTTTCCCCCTCTGTCTCTGTCAGCTATTCCTAGCAGGATCTAGGATTTCCGTGGCACTTCCCAAGAATGCCCCAATGTGTTGTCTGCAGGAAAAACTCCTAGACTAGACCTCCAGACACTAGGGTCACAGCCCTGACCCAATGGATGACCACCAATCAGGTCCCGAACATTAGTAACCCTCTTCCTATCTCCCCTGCCCTGCCCCTTTCCCCTGAAAGAGGAGTCTCAGCACAGTTATTTACAAAGATTTATTACAGCAAGGGAGAGGTTCAGACCTGGAGTCAGGGAGAAGGAGAGGGGGCAGAGCAGCTGGAGGACAAGGAGAACCTGGCTATCCCCACCATGTGCCCCAACAAGGATGCATACAAGGCGGCATTCCTGGCATCAAAGCACATACAAAATGCAACAAAGCAGCCTCTGCCAGTCCATCTTCCAGGCACCCAGGCTGGGGAGCAGGGGTGGTAAAAGGAAGATTTCCAAAATGTCGAGGCTGTGGAGAAGGATGCCTGAGTCCTGGGCCCTGGTAGAAGCCAGTGAGGGGCGGTGACTTGGAATCCCCCATATGAGAGGAGATGGAGAAGAATCTAAGGGCACCTACAGGTTCTCAGTACCCTCTTTCCCCAGATCTTAGGGTCCTGCCCTGTGGTCTCCTGTGCCCAGGGGAGGGGGCCTGGGGAGTAGAATTGCAAAGGGTAAACCCTTGTCCCCAGGTTCCTGGATTTTCCAATGCAGGCTCTCTTACATCCCACCTCCCATTGGGTGAATGGGGGAACGACTGGCAGGGGTAGGCATCAAGTAGCAAGTGCCCAGAAATCTGGGCATCAGCCAAAGGTAGGCGAACAAGCAAACACAGACCAGCCTTAGTCTCCTAAAAGTCAGAAGCCGCAGCCCTAGCGGGTGAGGGGAAGGGCACAAAATAGGGTAAGGACAGAATGGGCTTATGGAGAACAGCGATGTCCCCTCCACTTGCTCCCTCCTGGGAGATGCAAGGCTTGGTGCCTAGGTGCCAGGCTCAGGGGGTGCAGGATGTTGTGACTCCTTCCCCAGCCCTGCAAGGCAAGCATCAAGGGACTCAGGAGCCGGCCCCACCTCTCAAGATCCTATCCCACACTCCCCCATCCCACACTCCCCCGTCCCACACTCTGGGCCTCACCCACCACTTTGTGCAGGGTCTTGCACTTGATCCTCAGAGCTTCCCTCTCTCTGGGGTTCATCCAGAGGGGGTGGGCGCTCCCAGGGCCCCTCCAGACCCTGACCACAGGTTGCTTTCTGTCCAGCTGGGGACGGAAGAAAGGGGATAAAAATACAGGCTCTGAATACCCATCCAGCTATCCTGGAGTGTGTGGCATGTCTCTGCTGGTCGAGGCTGAGTTTCTAAGGGACCATGGTAGAGTGAAGAGAGCACTAGACTAAGACAGCTCTTCCAATGACTAGCTGCATGACTTAGATGAGTCATTTTTACCCTCTGAAGGGGAGAGAAAGGGGGAAATTGTGTACATGACCTTAAATGAGATAATACAGTGCCCGGCCCAGTGCTGGCACCAAAGAGCCACTCAGTCCACAAGTGGTGGTGGTTGGTATTGCTCCTTGGTAGTCTTGTCACTTGACTCATTTTTCCTGAGGGAACAGTCTCCTCTCACCTCCTTCCTACCTGTTCTGGGGTTTCAGTGGGAGTTGACTCAGCTCTTCCAGCTCTCCCCCATTGCTGGCAGCAAAATCTGGGAGTTTTTCCTCCCCTGGCTAATGCCCCCACCACTAGAGATGGAAACAGGAAGGAGGCCCAAGCCATTTTGTCTGGGTGCAGGGCCACTTCAAGCAGGAGGGGACCACTGCTTTTCATAATGGGACTAAAAAGTTGGACATGCACCAGAAGGGGTAGACAAGTCCCTAAACCAAAAAACCAAATTCACTGCTGTCAAGTCAGATCCGACTCATAGTGACCCCTCCTTGGGTTTCTGAGGGAGTATCACTATGGAAGTGATTGACCAACCTTCCTTCCGAGGAGTGGCTGGTGGATTTGAACCACCAGCCTTCTGGTTAGCAGTCTAGTGCCTTAGGCACTATGGTACCAGAGCTCCTAGATAAGTCCCTAGGTGGTACAGATGGTTCAGCTTGGCTGCTAACCAAAAGGCTAGAGGTTTGAGTCTGCCCAGAGATGCCTCGGAAAAAGACCCGGCGATGTACTTCTGAAAAATCAGCCATTGAAAACCCCGTGGAGCACACTTCTACTCTGACACACATTGGGGTCACCAGGAGTCAGAAATCAACCGTAACTGGTTGTTTTTTTTTTTTTTTTAAAGGAGAATAGAAGTGGCACAACCTTCCATGGCCAGGCATAGAAGAAACAATCATGGGAGGATGTGATCTTTCTGCCTACAAATTCTCTGGGCCTTGGGGTGCTCTGTGATAGGTTTTGGATCTGAGGCCTCTGACTCTGAGGCTGTCTGTGGGTCTTAGGCCCCTCCCTGACTCCTTTCTTCCCAGGCCACTGGGGTTGAAGGTGCTAAGGACCAGGCTGGTTCTTGAATCCTTGTTTCTTCTTCTGCACACTAGAGGGCACCCTCCCACCCAGCCTAGGGAGCAAGAAGAAGATGTAGCCACTGGGTCCTGGAGAAGGAGCTGTACCAGCCAGCCCTCTGCTTCCCAGCAGAGATCAAACCCTAGGTTGGGAAATGCAGGCGAATGGGGCGTTGGACTCTCTCGATCCTCTATCCGTGCATCTCCTAGTGCCCCCTTACCCCTATGGACGGGAAGTCCTTTCTTGGGTCTAGCCTCAAACTCCAAGTGCCTTAATTCTTGGGGAAGAGAGGAATTAGGGAAAACCTGATTAGTAGTGTGCTATGGATTGAACTAGGAGCTCTGGTAGCATAGTGCCTAAGGCACTTGACTGCTAACCAGAAGGCTGGCGGTTCAAACCCACCAGCCACTCCTCGGAAGGAAGGTTGGGCAATCCTACTTCCGTAGTGATACTGCTTCGGAAACCCAAGGAGGGGTCGCTATGAGTCGGGGCCGACTTGATGGCAAATAACAACAACAACAACAACATGGATTGAACTGTGTTCCCCCCAAAAATATGTGTTATAAATGCTGACTTCTCTAATGGCAATAATCCCATTTGGAATAGGTTGTCTTTGTTATGTTAATGAGGCAGGATTAGTGTAGGGTGTATTTTGAGTCAATCTCTTTTGAGATATAAAAGAGATTAAAAAAGCAAGTGAGCAAGCAGAGATGGGAAAGAGACATGCCAAGCCACGTAAAGGTCTCCAAGGAGCAGAAGCTCAGTGGAGACAAGGACCTTCCTCCAGGAACAACAGAGAAGGAAAGGCTTCCCCTAGAGCTGTACCCTGAATTCAGACTTCTAGCCTCATAACCTGTGAGAAAATAAATTTCTATTTGTTAAAACCATCCACTTGTGGTATTTCTGTTATAGCAGCACTAGAGAACAGACACAGAGTGACTGAGCCGAGGATGGGAGTAAGCCAGGTCTCAGGTCAGGCTGCGTATGAGGCCTCCGATGGGTGAGCAGCTGGGGTCTCTGTGGTGTCACTGCAGATTACGTGTGAGAAACTGCAAACTGGAGGGGGTTTCTAGGATGCTCAAGGAAGACCCACACTTAGCCCACGGTGGTGGACCCGGGCACTGCAACTCCCTCAGCTTACCAGATTCCCTGCTGCGCTTCAGGACTTCAGCCTGGCTGTCCTCCTCTTCATCCTCCTCTTCGTCCTCCTCATCCTCATCCTCCTCATCCTCTCTGGGATAGCCCAGGGCCCGCAGCTCCCCCAACTCATCCTCCTCCTCCTCTGAGGCCTGGTTCTCGTTCAAGGTGCTGATGGACTGCAGGTGAGACTCTGCGATGCGCTGCACAGCTGGAACAGAGGGGCGCAGGAAGGCAAGGCTCAGCCGGGCCCAAGAGGCTGCCCACAGCTGGTGAGGGGCGGGGCCCAGCCTGTAGCCTTCTTTCCATGGGCCTCCTCTCAGGACGACAGGCCACCCTGCTGGAGACCAGGCCTTGGCAGAAGTAGGGGATGGACTCTTGCTCATGTTTGGCTCTTAAGCTGCCCCAAGATGCTGGCACCCTGGAAGCTGGCACTAGGCAGCTTCTCTACACCAGGCTGGGCAAGACTAGATGGGCACTGTGGCAACTTAACATTCCCTGGCTGGGACCTCCCAGCTTCACCAGGTACCCAGTGCTGGAGACAGAGCCTACCAGCTTCAGCCCAAGGCAACAGTTGAAGGGCTGTGGGCCAGAGCCTAGGGGACTCACCCCTTCCAGTTTCTGGAAGAGTGCCCAGGCTGCTTAGGGCTCACTGCTCTCCCCATCCTGCCTGCCATGTGCTCAGTCTCCAGCCTCTAGCACTGTCCAGTTACAAATGACATTCCAACTCTCCTGTCCAAGAGTCCAAAGGGCAGAACAATCCAGGACCAGAGAACATAACCATCTGCAGCCAGTGGAGCCCAGGCCTGGGGAGGTGGTGTGTTCAGACGCAGCCCCTACAATCTTGACCCACATCCCCAAGCTCCCAGCTCCCTCTGCGCTGACCTAGAAAGCAGCGCATACACACACACAACACCACCACCACCACCACCAAGGCCAGGAACAGAACTGTGTGGGCAGCTGAAGAGAAGTTTCTGAAAGATGGAAAGAAGCGGGGGACTAGAGAAAGGGGACCGGGACTAGGGAACCCTGGGGGGAATGGCAGGGATTGAGGGGACACTCTGGGCTGAGTCAGCAGGGAACCAGGAGCTGGTGGGGTCTTAGTGCATCTGGGACACTAACTTCATAGCCCACAGAGGAGAAGCTGACAAGCTGTGGAGCAGAGTTGCTTGCTTCCCCCCTGCCGGAAGGCCCACAGGGATAGATCCAGGCTGGAAACCTCCGGTGGAGCGAGCAGGGCATCATGCTCCTGCCAACTCAGGGACAGGCACAGAGGGTCCATTGTGTGTGCCACCACCCCACCCTGCCAGAGCTCCCAGCCCAGTGCCTCCTGCTGGCTCTGGGCAAATTACCCAGGCAATAAAAATGCAATAAATCACCCAGCCCTGGCCTTGAGGACTAAGCAAAGCTTCACCTTGAGCCAAGAGTGAGCGCTCCGACCTTGGAGAGCACCCCTTCAAAGGCGTTCAAGTTTGTCCACTTCCCCCAAGGGCCCCTGACTCCTTCCTACAAATCCCCAACCCTGCCAGGCAATTTCCTTGGCCCAGAACGGGTGGTAGCCTCAAGACAGTGCCCTCCCTGTACAGGGAAGGAGTAAAGAAAATGTCCCAAGCGGGAGGGCAAGGTCCTCTGAGGGGGCCACGAAGGGGAGGGAGAAGGATGGGGAGGAGGTGATGCAGGTGACAGCTCAGGAAGCCTTCCCTCCCCCTGTGGGGGGGGAGGAGAGTTCGTGAGCGGCAGTGACAACAATAAGTGGGTGCAGTGCCTCCCCCGCGCCTCTTGTCTGGCAGGGCTCTCTGGGGTCTACCCCTCACCTCTCCCAGACTCTGTTTCCTTCTGTCTCCATGTCTGGGCCCTGAACTCCTCATTCTTACCCCATCTCCTTTTGTAAGGTCAAAAGGTCCCAACATAGCCCCAAACTGCCCAGCCTCCTCCTGGTCCCTCTCCACTTTCCTGCAGCCCCCTACCTAGAGGCTACCAAAGCACAGCTCAAAGGGACAGTGGGGGCGTGGGTACATTTCTGGTCACTACTGGGTGAACAGGAAGCACTTTGGCCCTAACCTCTTCCTCAGATCCACAATCAGGGGCTTGGGACCACCTCCCACTCTCTACATCCACTCAGCCCCTCCCCAGCCCAGGATGGAGAGGACTAGGGTTTCTCACACTCTCCTCCTCCCTTAGGCCTGCTATTAGGGTCTTCCTCACATCCCGACAGATAGGGAAGTCCTCCCAGGTCCTGAACCACACTCTTGCCTGTTGCAGCTCTGTCCCTTCACTCTCCTATGGGAGGTCCTAGGGGGGAGGGTTTCTGCCTTCCTCTCTCCTCCTCCCAGCCCTTCTCCTCTGAGCTCCAACGCCTGGCAAACAGGCTGACAGGTGCACCTGTTGACCTTGGCCAATGCTGGGAACTCATTAAACCCACCCCCACCCCCGAGGGAGTTCTCAGCACACCCTTCCGGCCTCCCCCTTATCTGCCTCCTTCCCCTCCTTCTCTATCTCCCTCTGTGGGAGAAGGGGGCTGGCCCAGGGCAGGAAGAGCCTCAGGCAGGAGTTGAGGGTGGAGGTGGAAAGGCATCCTAGGGCTTAGAGACCCCCCACACATAACCCAATCAGCCTACCTTCTCCTCTAGGTGTGTCACCCACATCTCCCCTGCTAGAAACCAAGTCTCCAGAGAGGCCCTCAAAGCCCTTGTGATTTCATATCTTCTTCCCTTCGCACACCCTCCTCCTTCTTCCTCGAATGCCCTATCCTGGCTTGCTGTCCTGTCAAACTTCCAGTCATCCTTCAAATCCAGGCATAAACATTTTCTTCCCCATGAAAGTATTTTAGACCAGCCACTTCCTTCAACTCTGCAGCCAGATTTTAAGGCTCCCAGCCACCCTTTCCAGCCTCTAGGCTCCTTTTTCTCACTGCCAGATTAAGATAGAACTAGTCTCCAGTTAGGAGCTCTGGTAGCATAGTGCCTAAGGCACTTGACTGCTAACCAGAAGGCTGGCGGTTCAAACCCACCAGCCACTCCTCGGAAGGAAGGTTGGGCAATCCTACTTCCGTAGTGATACTGCCTCGGAAACCCAAGGAGGGATCCCTATGAGTAGGGGCTGACTCCACGGCACATAACAACAACAACAACAGTCTCCAATTAGGGGTAGGGGTGCACAGGGCAATCCCTGCCCCCACTGAGAAAACCTCAGCATTTCCCCTTCCTCCCCCTGTCAGCCCAGTTCCATAAGCTTCTCAAAGGGATGGCCAGCCTGAAGGGTCAGGGACAATACCTTTCAGCGAGGGGGGTGTGTAGGCACAGGGGTTGGCTCTCTTCGACTTGAGGTGGTGTCCCTCTCCTGAGGCTCTCTGCCAAGGAAAGTGCCAGGTTCAGTGAGATCACCAGAGGCCCCTCCCTTCACCATCCCTCTGTTCCATCCCCCTCCCCAGCACCCTGGGCAGCCTGGTGTGGCCTCTGCAGCTGGTCCAGGCGCTTGGCCCCTCTGATCCTGCTCCTGAGCTGAGGCAGCCCCACTACTTTGAGGGGGCTCTCATAAGGGATGGGTCTGACAGGGGACAGGTAAGGTCAGAGGAGAATCTGCCTGCCAGTGGTATCCTGGCACCAGGCACTCCTATATGGGTTGCCAAGCGATATGCTAATGTATGCAGGGGTAGCTGTGTTGATTGGAAGGCAATCCTGTCCACCTCACACCAAAGGGCCCAGGAGCTCCTGGAAACTCACCTGGTGGGGGGAGGCCTCTTCCTCTGAGGGAGGCCACCAGTGAACCGTGAACAAGGAGGGAGGAAATCCGAGGGAGGGGAAAAGGGGGAGAGAGAGAGAGAAGAATCAGAGTTACTTTCTAAAAAGGCTGTGTCTGGGGAAGGGAGCGGTGCCCTTTCCCTCCCTATGTTGGGAGGGACCCCGGCCAACAAAAGAATCCAGGAGAGGTGATCTCCCAGATCTTACCCACCCCCTGGTCTCCTGCTCAGCTAGGCCTGCTCCTGGGACTTTGGTAGGGCCCCCAGGAAGGCATCACGGTCATTATGGGGCCAGGACCGGGAAGACTCAAGGCTGGGGGCAGGGAAGGGGCCCCACCTGGTGAGGAGTGCTCTGAGAGCCGGAACAGCATGGCAGGGGTCGGTCTCCGGCGTCGGATCTAAGTAGATAGAGGAAGAGGGGCTGGTGAGGGACCGGCAGCATCTGCTGACCACCCCCACCCTCAGCCAGGCAGCAGGGAACAAACAGTGCTTTGAACCCTCCAGGGAACCTTAGAATCAAAGACTTGTCAGCACTGACGGGAACTCCATAGCTTGCCAAACCCCTTCATTTTACAGAAGTGGAAACCTAGGCTCAGAGATGTTCAGCAGCGTGCTCAAAGCCACACAGCACACCAAGGCAGAGAAAGGACGAGAAAACTGGTCGCCCATGCCCATCCGACTCCATAGCTACTCCACCACAGAGCATCTCTCAGTCCGTCTCTCCTACCGAGGCCCTCCCGTTCCCAATTTTTTAAAGACATTGGACCTCAAGAGCCCACGTGGGCTCTGGCTCCAGCTGCCAGGGATGGGCTCTCTGGGGAAAATGCCCCAGGGACCACAGTACCCACGTGGTCCTGCACACCTAAGGTCAGTTCAAGGGCTCCAAAGAAACCAGATCCAGCTGCAGAGGAAGGCTGAGCCAGGGCAGCGCCCGCTCCAGGCACCTCCAACCTCACACTAAGGCCAAAGATGGGCCTGAGCGCCAGGCTCACGGGAGGGGAATGAAGGTAGCATCTCTGAAGCTCGGGTTGAGCCCCTCTGACAGTCTCTCTCAGACTTTAAAACCTTCCCCCCAGGCCTCCTAAAAACAAAAATTTGCCTTCCTTGGTATCTGAACCAGGCTGAAAGGTTAGGGGGAGCCCTGAGCACTCCCAGCAGCTACCCCCACCCCCTAGCTTGGCAATCAGACCAACTGTCAGTTAATTAGGTCCCCTCTGAGCTCCAGGGAAATTCACAGAGAACCAGGTGAGCCAAGCTGAAACTGCCACCTCCCCCAGCGAGGCTCCCAACTTGCTCTCCAGAGAAAAAGCTGCTTAGGCCCAGGACCCATGCCACACACAAGATCCCCCATCTCTTCTCCCAAAATGTCTTGGCCCCACTCTGCTCTGTTGGGCGCTCGCAGCATCCCAGCAACAAGTGACCCGCCTCTGGGATCGTGGGAGGCGGGGCCCTCCTTCTCTCCAGACCCTTGGAGGGTTGCGGAGTGGGGCTGGAAGGACTTCCGAGGAGTCAGTCGTCTGTGGGAAGAGGTCTGGCTTCTGTGATAACTGGGGTTGGGGCTCTAGGGCCTGAAGGCAGAAGAGGGTCAAAGCATGATACTGGAGCCCCAGCCTAAGCACACAGGGTGGGACGGAGAGGGGCAGGTCTGCGGGGCAGCCGCGGAGCTCTGGATACTGCTGCTCTGTATATTGGGGTCAGTGTATGGTATTTCTACGTCTGACGGAGCGCTGGGGCTAGGACCCGGGCGTGGTCGCGGTGGCATCCTAGGGACCAAGGACACTGCGGGGGGTCTAGAGGACAGTCCCCCCTCCTGGGCCCGCTCCCCCCACCCCCATGCTCGCTGCCGGAATTCTCCGGGCGGGCTCAGCAGGACCGAGGTCCCGGGAAAAAGTTGCACTCGCCAGCCGCGAACTTCGTGCGCCGCCCGGCGCTCGGTCCTGGCAGCCAAAGGTCCGGGCTCTCCCTGGACCCCACTCCCAGGCCCGCCGCGGAGCGCAGAGGAGTCCGGGGTTGGAGGGCGCCGCTGCGGGTGTGGCGCGGCCCCTTACCATCTCCACCTGGCGGGGGTCGAGCTGGCTGGGGGGCGCGGGCACGGAGAACTGGATCTTCTTGCGGTCCTTGGGGTCCATGGCGGGCAGGATGGTCGGTGGGGCTGGGGGCGCGCGCCTCGGGGTCCCGGGAGGCGGTCGCGGCTCGGCTCCCCCGCGCTGCTCGGGGCGCGGCGCTGACAGCGGGCTGCGTGCGGCGAGGAGGAGGAGGGCTGTTCACGCTCGGATAAAAATACCGCGCTCCGCGAGGGGGGGCGCGGG